CGGGATGGGGAGACAGGCGGGGCGGCTGGCCTTGGCCTGCGCACCTGCTCTATCATCTGCCGCACTTTCCGCTGCTGGCTCTTGAGCATGTCGTCCAAGTGGTGGATCTTCTCCCGCAGCCTGGCCACTTCGCTTTCCAGGTCCGCTGCCCTGAGGGTAAAGATCAGAAAGCTGAGGTGAGCGGGAAGGACACTGTCCGCCCGGCCCCTTGGGCACGGGGTTCCATCAGCTGTGATCCCCTCCGCCCGAGGCCCCGTCAGCCCTGAGGAGTGGGCAGAGACATCATAGGACGTCCCATCGGGAGCGTCACCAGAGATCATGTCCGAACGAGGGGACTGAGAAGGGATAAGTCCTTCTGGAAAGCTCTAGAGGGCAAAACTGGAGCCAACACATGGGCATTCCCAGGGAGCAGTTCCTAAGTAAACACAGAGACGTCTCAGTACTAATGCTGTCAGAAGTGGGCTGCCTCACGTGTGAGGAGCTCCTCGAACCAGGAAAGGATCGGGCAGGAGCTGGGATTATGACGCCAACGCCATCGAGCTGGTGGCAGGGGTTTCATGCCAAGAGGGAGGTGGGATCTGAGGACCCTTACGGCCTCTCACACAAGTCTGTTGCTAAGTCTCCTGATTCCGTTAAGATCCCCAAAGGTCGAGCGACAGGGGAAAGTGTCCTAGACCTCAGACCTCTGAAGACTTCGGTACCCAGGCCCTTCCGGTTCTGCCTGAGGAAGCAGACAGGTGCCTGCTGCCAGCAGGTGGGCAGTTCTGGGGGTGAGGTGGGGCGTAACGCAATCTGAGCCCCCCAACAACCTGCCTAAGCTTCAAACATTCTAAGTTCCCACCCTCAGCTCTCCAATGTCCTCTCTCTGTGTCCTTTCATTTAGAAATCAGCACTGATGATGCGTAGCTATTATTCGCCATCCCCAAGCCTCGGTTTTGGATTATCTGGTCTTTTTTCGTTTCTCCCGTTTCGTCCTCTAGCCGCCTGCCCGTGGGCACCCCGCCACTGAGCAAGAGGGAGTGCTGAGCAATTTGAGGCAATTCTTGCTCTGGAGCCAAGTGAGAAACGAGGCTACATGTCCGCGCTTTCCCTGCTGGGCGGGCCCAGATCACGCTCATCCCAAAGGACAGAAAATGCCCCCAGCAGACCGAGGGGTCCACGAAGGCCAGGTTTATGTCTGTCTGTTAATCTTGGAATTCTTTAGAAGGCCCTTCAGGTAATGTCTGTTGAACTTAAAAAGGTCCAATTCGTACAATGGAGATCAGACCCAACGTGCTGGTGTTAAATTTGATTTACCATTTGAGATCTTATTTATTAATTGCCAACGGCATAAAGAATTTCCCAATTCTTGAAAGTCCAGAATGGCCCAATCTTTACTCTGTAGGTTTCACTGGTCTGGGGCTTCCGATCCCCTCTGACTGGGGGGAATTTGCAAGGCCATCGAACCCCGGAGTAGAAAGGACCTCAGAGATGCCCTCTGTGCCACTAGACAGGTGGCCCTCGTGAAAGGAAGATCCGCGTCTCTTCATGAAGCTGCTCGTTGTATTTTTCACCAGCTTGATTTGTGAGGAAGTTACCCGATTTCACCCTCGAATAGTTTGCAGTCAGTTGCTTTGGCGGGGGAGACCGTGGTGTGACAACACCCCACCCACATCCGGGAAAACGACCAACGGCAATGGCAGATGCTTTCCCAGCTCTCACTCGACCTTGGCTCTCAGACCATAAAAACCTTTTCTTGAGGTGATTGCTCCATGGAAAATGAGCTCCCCGGAGATGGCAGCCTCCCAAACAGCATCTCCCAGGCGGGGCCCCACCCTGAGCAGGCACACTGTGAGTCAGAGCCGGAAGATCTGACATCAGCACCAGCTTCTTCCCCATGTCTAGCTGCCCTGGGAGCCGCACGGCCCTCCCTCCCCTCCCTGCACCCCAGCTTCACGGCGAACAGGGCCCTTACTTTTCCTGTTCTGCTCGGCAGTCAGCACTCTGGCTCCGAAGCTCCTCCAGGGCCATCTCCCCTTCCCTGACCTTCGCCAGTAAGGCCTGATGCTCCTGGAGGGGCCGGAGGAAAGAAAATCTAGGATGAGGCGATGGTGACAGCTTGTGCAACAGTTCAGGGGTGAGATGGGCACCGGGGCTGGGGCTCAGCCCCTCCTGGGCCTTGGACAGCTGCCGAAGAGCAGCAGGCCAAGCTGGTTTGATGGGGTGCCATCTCTCGTCAGGGACAGCCCTTCCCAGCCTCAGCACACAGAAACTTCCCGGCCTCACCCAGCTGCCCAGAAGGAGAGCCTGGTGCTGTACTACCCGGGCCCACCTGCCAGCTGCGGCTGCCAACCCCTCAGAAACCGGGCCGAGTGGCTCCTGAAGAACAGTCTTCAGCCCCCATGAAGGGCAGCTGTCTCAGAATGGGCTAAAACGGAACCGGGTTCAAGTCCAGTTGGTGAGGGCTGAAACTGAATGACAGCCGGGCTGAAGGGTGCTCGCAGGTATTTGCCAAAGGAAGCTTTTCCGGAGCCGCTCAGAAAAGGAGGGTCTGCACAGCCCCCCCAGTGACCCCGGGCACCCTGGCCTGGGAGCCTGCTCTCTGCGGGGCTCGGCGGTTACCGTCTGCATGCCCAGCAGGCGCCTCTGCAGCTCCCCGACCTCCGTCTCCCTCTGCCCCGCTCGGTCCTCTGCTCTCTGAAGGGCCACGTGACTCTGCTCTGCTTCTCTCTGGTACCGGCTCACTGTGACCTAAGACACAGGGTGGGGCTGTGTGACGTGGGGGCGAAGAGCGCAAACATGGATAAAAGGCTTAGGAAAGACCCGGGAACCAGGAGCGGTGGCGGGAGAGGGGCGACTCTGACGAGCACGAGCACCCGCAGCGCTCCCCACCCCCTCATCCTAGGCCACTCGGGCGACTGGCCGAGTCACTCCGTTTCCAGGGTCCACTGGCTCAGAGCCGATCGAGCTGCACTTCGGAACGACACCTAGAACCCACAAGCAGCGCTTTCCAGCGGCTG